CACCTCGGGGTGCCCGTGGAAGTAGGACCCGATGCCGTGGCCGACGAAGGAGGGGCAGACCTGGAAGCCTCCCCACTGCGCCACGCAGCTGCAGGGCAAAGAGGACACGGTGAGGGAGCACGCCTTGACCACCGCTTCGCTAGCCACCCCGGCCCTGGCCCCTGCCACCACACTGGTACCGGGAGCGGCATCACCCGGCTCCTGCAAGCTCTCACCCCTACTCCAGTGCTGGGTCACCACTCTGTGCCCACTCCGAACGACAGCAGCCATGGGAGCTAGCGCCAGCGGGCATTGTTAGGTTTCAGAGTTAACACGCCTGCCAGCAGAGGCTGGTAGCTCCTGTGCCAGCCCTGGGACCTAAACAAGATGGCAGCACGTTGTCTCCCTGTTCAAGTAACCTTTTCCATGAGCTCACTGGGAACTTATTTTAACATGGGACAGCTCAATGGCAGCCAAGTCGCATAGCTGAGGCCCTGGCACACCACCACCTGTACCAGGCTTTCTAGAGGGGAACAGGGTCCTGCTGCCAACCGTGAGAGTGAAGAGCCCTCCCTGTTCCCTCCAGCAAATCTGGTCACGCTAATTAACAACATATTTCTAATGCATCCATCACCACAGTAGCAAACCCAAATCATAACAATTATGGCATTTCAGCTCTGCCTGGGACATCTGTCCTGTCCTTTGTGGCCTGTCTCAGGGAGGAGCTTCTCGTGCCCACAGGAACACGGCCCAGCACTGATCCTTACCCAAAATCCTATCCTAGTCTTTAAAAATGAGAGGACCTGGAGATACGTGGGGTGTCCTCTGGTTGTTGGACCACCTCATGCCTACAGGCTTCACTCACAGGCTCTGCTCTTTCTCAAGCAGAGGGGTGTGTGTGTGGGTGACTTAGAGCAGCTCAGCCAGGAGGGCTGGCCACATCCAAAACTGCAATGTGTGGAGATTTGGGGGGACCTGGAGGTGGATTAGAAGTGACAAGAAAGCTGCCCCCACCCCTGAATATCATTCCCACATTAATTCTAAAAGCAAACAGGAGCAAGACAGGAAGGCACTCAGCCTGAAAAGATTTCACATACGACATTATAAGCTTAATTTGTTTGTTTTATATCAAGGTAGGCACTTAAAAACTTCAGGTTTGCCTATATTTACACCCTAACAAATGATTTCTCGGAGTTTCACTACAGGTGGAAAAGTGTGAAAGTTAAGAAACTCAAATAAATGGGTAAGCTCTCACAGAAATTAAAACACATTAAACACCCCATGGGGATTCCCTTATTCAGGTGCCAAGTGGCCTCAGCTTGCTGTACGTGGTAATCCCTTGGCACACCAGGCTCCACAGACCCAGCACTACTTGCTCCAGTGCCCGTGGGTCACCACCCCAGAATTTAATGCCACTGCAATGGAGGGACACGGTGCTCCACCCTGGCAAAACAGTGATGAGAGAGGAGCGCTGGGTCAACGGTTAATAATGCTGCAGTGTTCAGACCTTAAGAGCGCGTTTTAACAGGATTTGTATATTAGCTTTTATCAACCCATTGCCCTGATACACAGATTAATCACATTTCTTTCATTAACTCTAGAGGAGAATAGAAATGTCAATCTTAGCTGTCTCCAAACTCCTAAGCACTGGCTAAGAGGGTTACCAATAAGGCTAGAAGCTGGGCTTCACTTGGTTGTATTCATCGTCCAGAGTTTTACCTCACACAGTTTATGTGAAAAAAATCAGAAAGGTTTATGCAGTGATAAGGCCTGCTAGCTATGGAAAAGACTTTCTTCCCTGCCTTTCTATCATGTCACCCACATCTGGGTCAGAGACTCAGCCTGCGGGCTATGACGATGCTGAAGGCCAAGGAAGAGGCACAGGGAACAGTGAGGAGTTGGAAAGCCAGATTACTCAGAAACACACACAAAACAAGCTGGAAGATCTCTGATGCCCAAGCCCAGAGCAATGCAGATAATGATTCTCATACTGATGAAGCAATTCTCCAGAGAGAGATGGGAGAAGCCGTCCATGCAACATGTGATAAGCTTTTCTTTCACCTTGTTCTGCATGTCTTTTTGCAAAAGCATGAACAATCCCACTGACTATTCAGCTTTGCTGGTGTCCTTACTACCCACTGAAAGGGCACAGTCACTTTTTGAGATGCTTTGTATTATTACAGGATTTTCACCACAAAAAATCCATCTTTTGTGGCAAGAGAGAAAGCCATTCTCCTGAGCACCACGGCTACATACTGTCCCGTGGGCCGGGGAAGCCCCTGCCCCAGCACTCAGCTGGTGTTGAGGAGGGTGGCAGCAGCGGCTGCCTGCTGGGCACCGAGCACACGAGCGCCAGGGCACACAGGAGGCAGGGCTAAGACAGTATCCCATCCTCATGCAGTGAAAGAAGTGGTTCTTGTGCATTTCAATGGTGAATTCTGCCGCTTTCTTGCCAAACAGCTTGAAAACAACTCTGTGGGCATCAGTATCTCAGTGGTTACTGTCTGTGATCAAAATAGGAGATCTTGGAGCTCACAGGGCTTTGACATCTGCATTGACAGATGCCCGAGCCCGCCCTACTAACCACTTAATAATGTCTACATACAGAGCTTGGATATTCTTTACATAAAATGTAATGCGGCCAATGAACCTGAAGTTACACAGAGAAAACCTGTGGAGAAAATAAGCTGCAGGCATGAAACTCAGCCATGTTCAATCTGGTTTTAATATTTGCGTGTGCTTCAGAAGCACCTTGTAGGGAATTTCACTCTGCAACGATTAGCTTTACTTTACAGTATTTAAAAAAATCCTCTTACATCCTTGTGGAGTTATAGTAAAACTTTCATAAAACCCAAAGCTAGTGACCCAGCTACAACTTGCGAATGGAATCCTGTAAACGTACATGTACACGTGGGCTGTAAATACTGGCAGGGAGGACTTTGAAACAGCTCTGAGTGAACTGAACTGTTGATCTTGGTCAGCCTCTCCAGCCTCCAGGACTCCCAGGCTGTGGAACCTGGTTAAAAAATCAGGATGTCAGGGAGTGGAGCATTTTTGCCCAAGTTTGCCATTTGCTGCTGACATCAGCTCAACATTTTGGTCTCGCTGTCTCATTGCACAGCTCAGGATCTGTCAGCAGTGGCCTTTCTCTCCAGCCTTCCCTGGAAGGCAACCTTACAAGATTGCAGCTCCAGCTTCCTGCGCTGCTCCTTGCAGACAAGCAGCGTAAGATCAGGCAGCTGGAGGAGCCCCGACCACAAGTGGGAAAGCGGTGAAGGTGGGAGGCAGGAGTCGGCACAGCTGAGCTGGGCTGCCTGGCATCTGCAGTGGGGAGAGAGCTGCACTGCTGGGTGGATGTGCCAGTCTGCCTGTTCCCCTCGGCCGCGGAGCTTTCCCCAGGCAAACCACATCCAGAGCAAAGGCTGGGCACCAGAGTCACGCTGCACCAACAGCGTCAAGAAAAAAAAAGATTCTTCAGAATAATCACTGTCAACAATATCCATCGACAACATTCACCATCACACATTTTATTCTTTAAGCCAGGCTGCATGCTTGGGCAGAGGTGAACTGGGCAGGATTAAAAGCATAATCATTTAATGAGCCCAGTACTTGATTTTATGTTTTGCTGCCACGTGTTCCAGCCCAGTGACTGAGGAGTCAAGAGTACCTGCAGTGCAGCTCCTCTTTTGCTGGTAGCAAAGCCAGGCAAAGCGTCTGGTGTCAGGATGGACCCGCAGCGGCCCAGCTGGTGAAGGAACATCACTGAGAGCCAGGCTGTGCACCCACAGGCAGAGCCTCTCGTATGGTGGTATTACACTTCTGAGAGTGGACAGAGACAGGAGAGTTGGGTGTCAGTTCCCACCTGAGCATCCTCTTCCCATGTTGCCAGACGTCAGCTAATTCTTCAAAAGGAGGCATAAGCGTGGAGTCATACATTGCCATCCTGCCAATGGCCCAACAGGGAAGATGCCGCACATCAGCGACAGGCAGGACCAACTCTTTGTAGAGCTCTCCCTGATACTCTGGAGTCTCCTCTGAAACAAGTTCTTGGGTGAAGAGGATAAATTCCTCCTGCTAAGAAGCTGAAGAGCAGGTTGAAAGAATTTCCTTAGGGGCTGGCCCTGTGCAGATAGCCTCTAGGAGTGTCTATGGGATAACAGGCATCCCAGCTCCAGGGGAAAAAACATTCAGTCTTAGGACAGGAACACCCTCTTTTTTTTTTCTTTGGAGGTGGTGGTAAAACCCCACCCTAAATCCTGTATTTTATTTTCTTTTTACAGAATATTGTCAGTTTTTCCTCAAGTCAGGTCTGGTGTCCGGTATTCTAAGCCCTCACCAAAGAAACAAAGAGAAACAAATCCCATTTTCAGATTCAATAGCAATGCCTCTCTGGCTCTTGGTGGCATGAGGGAAGACAAGGTGGCATAGGCTGCTTCACTGCCCAGGCTGCCCTGGTGAACTGGTTCCCAGCTAGGGACACTAGTCCTGCAGTGCCAGCTCCTCTCCCTGGGGATGAAACATAGCAGCATGATGTGAATGGCTCAAGGTGCTAAACAAATCTGTCTTACGCTTCTGGGCAGTGTACTTGGGAAACACTCAAAGCAATAATGCACCTATGATAATTATTTTCTTACTTAGGGATCCATATGAATGCTTTTTTTCATTAGAGGGAATCACGTTTTTCTTAGATACATCGTTAGCAAAATGACCACTGAAGGGCATATTTACTTCTTTTTTTAAATTCTTGAAAACAGTATCAGCCTAAACTACATTTGCACATGATAAAAATATGTATTTTGAATAGTACCATATTATCTACTCTAAGAAATTAAAACATTGTACTGAGAAAACATTAAGGTATTTTTCTCTTAAACAGTAATCCTAGACTGAGGGAATTCACAAGTTCAGGGATTCCCTATAATGACAATAAATGTTGAGGTATAATTAGTAATATTTTTGAAAGCCAACAATTGTTTTTTGAAAGAAAGGTACATTTTAGTTTCAAACTGGAACATAAATTACTGTATTTTTCTTACAATAGTGCTGAACTTTTATTTGAGGTTCTCTGTTTCTGAAAGCAGACATGATGGATTGAAATAAAAGATAATTTATTGCAATGCTTACTTTCAAGTGCAGACAGAAGCAGTGTAATTGTAATTTACAGTAGCTGTCAAGGAAAATCTATCACAGATGACATTAAAATGACTTATTTTGCCTGAGCCACTTATTGTTTAAATGTGCATAATCTGATAGAAACAGATTTTTTTAAAATCTGCTTTATATTGTTCTAAATTAATATCAAAACATATACTTACGAGTTAAACATTTTAAACCATTTATTAATACTTTCATCACTACTATTTTTTCCGACTAGGAGTCAGAATTGGTTTATTTAACAATATCACGTTTGTGTTTTTTAGCTCCCTACACTCACAGCATTTCCATGTCCCTAAACTCACTCTCTAAAAAGTAGATTTCAAACTAGATTTGTTTCTGTCTGAGAGAGAAGTGGCAGAAATGGTAGAAGAAATTGGAACACAGGGCCCAATTCTGATTCCAGAGCTGACCAACAGTTTTGCCGCCACCTTCAAGAAGAACGGGTTAGCAGAGATTCCAATCTTTCTAAGCGAAGTAACTCACGAATCCAGGCAATCTTATATTTGCCACTTGTAGCTGATGGGAGAAGGAAGCTGATGGGAGAATTTCATAATCCATGAAATACTCGGAGTCAGCTAATGAGCTTCCATAACAAAGACTATGTTAGAAAACTTACCTCCAAAAGTATTGCAGAAAGGAAATATCCTGATTATTTGTGCCTAAGCTATGTTCTGCATATGACTTGAGCGCCTTTCTAGAAACACTGACGAAAGAAACCTAGCCACGTTTCCATTCTGATGGGCCTAAATGTTTTCCGCTTGTAGGTGCTTGTTCAGGTGCTATCGCAGGTATTTATGATCTCTAACTCTCCTGAAACTTCAGATTTTGATGTATGCATGTATTATATATGTCTGTCTGCATGCGCTGTCGAATGCCGAATAACCAGAAGCACGCAGCTTCGCCAAACCAAGGTGATCTTTCAGCAGAGGCAGTGTTAAAGTAGTTGTAAGCAAATCAGCACATTTAAATCGTCGACACGATAAAATCTTGAGAAATAAAGTTAATGACCTGCTATTTCATATGCAGTTTTGAACAGCTACTAGCTTTGATTAATCCGCTTTTCGAAGGGGGCGCTGACTATATATTTACACTTTGCAAGTAAACTGACCTCCGTACCAACACAGCAAAAATCCAATGTTACATTCAAGCCTGTTCTTTTTCTTCTTCTTCTTCTTTTTTTTTTTTTTAATACAGCTAGAATTAATGTAGTGAATCAGTAATGAAATGCATTATCCTGCATGGAGATTTATCAGATTTTCCAATTGAATGCCATGCTTTGCTAGCACTAGCTGGAGTTCACCTGCATGTTGGTGTGGCGTGTGGCTCTTTTTTGTAAAGAGTTAAGTTGAACACAAAAAAAGGGAACAAAGGTCAGCACCCAGCCGCCACTTGAATGTGAGATTTTTCTTTTTATTCCCCTTGATGTATACTAGGCTCTGTGTTATTAGTCTTAATGATGGAAAATTGTAGTGTTGATACAAATCTTTTTTTCAAAGTAGTAGGCGGGAGCTCCATTTGTTAGTAAGTTTTTTTGTGACTAAAAGCCACGGACAGTACATTTATGTAGCAGTAAAAGGCCTAGATGCTCTTTCCATAGCAGAGCTAATTATTCCTACTGTGACCTTACTGATCTACCCTGTTCCTAGTACATCTCATCTGCACGCCTGTTCCTCTGTGTAGATGGTGTCAGAGAATATGAAAAACCCTATAATGAAACCATTTTCATGATGGAGAAAGGCTACTGGAGTTGCACTTGCTACAAAGAGGCTCAATTATATGAGTAATTGTGATAATTTTCTACATTCATAGCCTTCAATGGGGAAAAAAGAATGAGAGCCACAAAGGAAAATTACTTTAACAAGAAAGTACAGAGAGTAAAAATGGAAGAAGAGACAAAAAGGGGGAAAAAAATAACCAGAAAAAAAGTTTAAAAAATAGATCTGGAGGGAGGAATAGCAAGACAGGGAGAACAACAGAAATGCTCAAAAAGCCTATGTGCAGCTGTGTTGCACAATTAAATTGAATTTTTTTTCTGCAGTTGATGAATGTGACTACTGCAAATGTGCCTCTGTAGTTAGCTATCATTTGTTGTTCCGTGACAGGAAAAGGATAATTACCTCTCAGAGAGAATCAAAGGCTGACATGCCCTTTAGACACAGCCATGAATGCAGAGCTCGATAGAATGCTTGAATAAGAATCCAGTGTTCTGTGCCCCCTTCTACTCGAGAATAAATTTTGTTAAAATGCAAGAGCACCACCAGTAAATTTGTTGAACCCTAGGTGTTCAAAAATATGAGGTGCATCTATCGACTCATCCCATTTGCAAAAATAAAACTACATTTTGAATTCACTTCTATTATATTCATGGACAGTAAGATAGTGAGATATGCATTAAATTTCTTTTCCCAGTAGGGGTCTGATTCAACATTTCCTATGAAAGAACAGAAAGACACTATCCTTTTTCTTCAGGCTAGTTAGCCTATAATTTAAAACTGTCAAAAACACAATTTTATACAAAGTCTTCAATAAAAGCTTCTCAGATGTAACCCAAAGAGGTTTTACTAAAGTTTGATTCAGACTCTGTTACAATATTTTTAAAGCTATAAATACATCTAACTGATATTTTGCTGTTCTCTTTTTTCCTTAAAGTATTTGAAGATTTACAAAGAAAAAAAAAGCAGCATCCTTTCAAGGTGACTAAGCCTTGCAGCTTTTAAGTGATCAGAATGTATTCAATAACATGTTGAGACCATTAATAGTCCAGAGAGGTATTGCTTAATGAAATGTATACGATATATGTCTATTTTTTTCTTGGCAAACATTTAAAAATAATCCATAGGTACGTTCAAAAAACTAAGCCGTATTTTTATTCAAAACTGCCAGCAGAAGAGTCATGACTGCATTTATGTGAAGGCTCGAAGAGATGCAAAATAGGGAAAATTCTCTGAATGTAAGCTCTTTTTTCCCTGGGACGTTAGCATGCACCGCTCTTTGTAAGATCAGAAGCTCTCGAGTTAAATATTTTTGTACTTTTTAAACAAAGAGACTTATTTATGTTGGCTAATTCCTTTGTAACATTCCTTATTGCTATACAATGAAGACAATGGTTTCTAACCTTCTCACATCGTTAGACAGATGTGGTGTAGTTTCACACACAAATAAAAAATAAACAAAAATGTTCTGCAAATTACATCTGTTAATTTAAATCTACCTTATGAATATCTTTGGCTCTTTCTACAGTTATCTTTGCTGACCCTCGTCTTATTCACTTTAGAAAAAAAATCTCTCTTACCCAAGGAACAACATTATACCTTGGCAGTTCACATACTGATATCAGACTGAAATGATGGTTTTGAATCATAAAACATGTCATCAGCTTTATACTAAACCACCAATAACCTTTGTCCCACTTGCCAGCCCTCCCTTTACTTGTCAATATAAGGCTTACCTGATTGTGTTTCCAATTACAGAGAAGGGAGCCCCTGGTCTGCAAGCTGCAATTGCTTCATCTCTACATTTCCTGGCAACCTCCACTAACTTTTGACCAGATTTATCCACATTGCCCACCAAAAAGGTTTCAGAAGTGTCACCATGGTAGCCATTGTAATACACCTAAACACATGCAGAAATGTAAAGAGATTTTCTCATTTTGTATCCAGAAAGAGACTGTCTCCTTAATTAAATCCATTCTTTCTAGGAATGAGCTATATATTGCAACAGAGAGACCACAGGCAAGTTGTGTTTGTGAGAATGAGACTGGAAAAGTGAAACATTGCAGAGGAAATTAAAAAAAAAAAAAGCATGAAAGATTGCAAGGTACGTAGGGTTGCCAATTAAAAACTCAAGAAATGCGAAGTTGTGCCTCACTGCCCAGCAGTACACCAGGCAACGACATTGCTCAGCTACAGCATGTAAGGTTAATGGGGCTGTATGCGAGAAGACAACTGGGGGGTGTGCATGGGCTGAAGAGGGCCTTGGGGAATGTCGGGTGACCACCTGCCCCAGCCACCCACCCCTGGGGCTGGGGACCTGCTCAGAGCCCGCAGGGGTAGAGCATCGAGCCCCGGGGCTGGCTGTGGGTGCTGGGAGACCCATCGGCAGCTGGTGGAGAGACCCATCCCTTTGCAAGCCAGCACCCCCGGCGGGGTTTTGAGGTGATGCTGTGCGCAGGTGGGTGACAGGCACGCATTGCTGCCAACATCCACAGGAAGCCCCAAGGAAAGCACGGGCCAAATCCCACACCCACCACTGCACGTTTTCTTTAATCCCATTTTAACTACAGTGTGGCATTAACATTGCATTTTACTTCTGAATTCCAGAGATGAATTCTGAAAGAGAATACCACTTTGGCATCACAGTTTCATGTGCTGAAAACGTAGCACTCTCTTGAATTAATTATGCACTGTCTTCTTTTTTTTGGGGGACATTTCATAGGTTTTAAACCTCAGCTCTCCAGAAATTCTCTGCCCGGCAGAGGAAACCCTGGCTCTGCACTATGGAGATCTGTAACGCCCCATTAAAATGGGGCTTGCAGCTCTGCAGTATGGCAGGCAGGCAGATAATTGTAAGACCAAGCCAAATTTCCCTACGGAAAGACAAATGATAATGGTGCACAGTTTTGATCTTCCCAAACACTTTTTTCCCCCCGAACAGTGGGCAACTATCCTTCTAGGACTAATAACTAATGACAAAGCTCGAAGCACTGAACTTTTGCCCTTGTCGAGCCATCTGTGAAAGACAGACTCACATTCTTTTTGATTGATTCCAAACTAAAAAAATTACACCCAAAAACTTCTCTATGAAGAGCAGACACCAAGGCTAGGTGTGAGCAGAGATGTGAAGAAATTTCAGGCAGGAGCGAGGGGTGTTTTAAGGAAAGGTGAGTGCCAGTAAGGGCCCAACCGTGTTGCCACCATTCCGTCAGACAGCGGCTGTGGTCCCCTGCTCTACCCCGTTCCCCACAACTCCAGACTGCCATTGAATTTTTTTTTTTTTAATGTAATATTAATTGGGCAAGTTTTAACTCAGCCAGTTCATATTTAAACTGAATTAGTTTATTTTTAGCTCTAGCAAGTACAACACACAAAACCCTAGTGTTAAACATCATCATCCTGGAAAAACAAAACCAGATTTAAAACAGGAGAGCTTAAAAATAATAAAAATATTTACTGCAGCCCATCAACTGCAATTACGTGTTTTGACGTTAATAAGCTACAACCCCAGCAACTGTAACATACTAATTCCTTAAAAGTCAATGAAAGAACAAAGTTGTAAGAAACATTAACCTGGCAATGGCAGGCTAAAAATTGCACTAGGCTGAGGATTCAGTGATGGATAACGTTTTTGTTTCTACATTAAATTACATTTTAAAGGCTACATGATTCAAGCCAATAAAATTTGTGTTTCATCTAAGAAATTCTACCATCTTAATTGTGCAAAAATTGATTTTTTCTTCAAATGATGTGTACACAGTGTGAAGTGTTTAGACATAATAACCACAATATTATTTAATAATTTTATAGAATGTCTACACAATTATAAACAGTTTGTTGTTAAATATTACTTTGATTTTTATTCTGTCCACTTATGAAACATCTCAGTTTTGCTCATTAAAGAAAAGCTAAAATGTAATTATAAATGCTGCAAAGTAATATTTTTTCCTCAGATATTTTGGAACTGAGCAATTATCAAACACAGGACAGTTCAGTTTTAAATTATAAGAAAATATTTACAAAGATAATCAGCAATTCCTATCCTTGCAGGAATCTTCACATTAACAGACACTTCAAGATTTATTTTTCTTTATGAGGGTAAACAGAAAACAAATAAAAATATATCTTCAAAAGACCACTGTCATTTAGTCAGACATTATTTGTAAAGCAGAGTGGACAAAATATGCACACCATGTTAATATAAAAATGTTCGTTTTAGTTTATCAAGGAAAGTATCTGTGATATGGACCAACACTCTTTTTTTTAAAATAATCTAAGGAGTCATTACTTCCCTGACAGATAAACAAACAAACAAACAATCAAACAAAAAATACAAAGAAACCAGATGTTAAATTCTTTGCTGTTGCAATCACATTTAGTCTAATAAAATGAGCAAAGCTATACCAGTTCATCAAAGTAAAAATTTATACAAAAATATACTTCAAAAACGACAGATTACACTGTGTAAACTTGATAGTCAGAATTCTATAATTAGAAAGTATGGGGATGGGGAATAATTCAGTAAGATTAAAAAACTCCAAAAAAACAGTCCTCATCACACGTGAGTATACCATGGGAAAAAGGTCACTGACCCTAATTTTAATAGAAAAAATATTTTAGGAAGCTTGAAGCTTATGCTCAGAGGTAGGTCTGCTGCAGATTTCTTTGCTTCTGCCAGTATGAAATTTGGGCCCATGGAAAATAGTATCAAGTTACCAAGAGTTTCTTTAATGATTAAAAGAGCTTGTTTTTATGAGATGTTACTGCCTTGTATGTGACATATTATTGCAAAGTAATGGTGGGATTCAAAAGACATCTGTGTTCATATTAGAAATAAAATGCATTTTGGGAAAATAAAAACATGCATGCTAAAAAGAAAAAAAGCTTCTGCCAGAGTAAAATAATTTTTTTTCCTAAATGAAATGAGAATTAGGTTTCCAGTTTCTGTACTTTCTTGCTCCTATGAAAATCCAGCCAGTGTTTATTTAAATAGCTATAATTGACCATTCTCTGGAAATATTAAGTCACGGTTATATCACACTATTTCTGTTTCTGCGCAAAAGGTTCAGGGCTTTTATACCAGAAATGGAACACAACACTACCTTCGGGGATTTTAATAAATGTAGGGAACACTGCTAGCAAAAGAGTTGCTGTCCAAATAGACTGACATACACAGGCCAATGTAGCCTCTAATGACAGAGTAAGATAATGACAGGTAGCAGGAAGAGGAAGATCAATCTTGGCAGAGTGAAGGAAAAATGCTGGCTTTCTTCATGTTAGCTCATCTCATACATATCTATCTTCAGCTGCTGCCCAGTACTGTGGTGCTCTGCATTAACTACACAGTGGATCAATAACAATTACACCTTCTCAAAAACATGACACATAGCAGGATTGGGTTGACATTTCACTTAGGCCAACATTGATCTCAGTGCATCTGATTCCAGTCCTAAATTCAAGTCAGGCCTGGGTCTAGCTGGAATAAACACACAGTTAAAAACAAAAAAGGAAACCAGCTGCTTGTGCCTTGGCTCAGAAGTAAACAGCACATCCATCTGTGCATCCCCCATCTCCAATCCACTATTCTTCCTGTTGCTACTAGTGATTCTAAAGTTGATCAAAGACTATTTTTTATATGAATTACTCACCGTGACATCAATGTTGATAATATCTCCATCCTGAAGAGGTCGACTGAAACATAAACAGAAAAAAAAAATGGTGACAGACAGGTCCCAACAAAGGGAATATAAGAATAAACACCTAATAACACATACATAAGATATCAGGGGTAGATATCGTGTGATGGAGGCAAACAGTATAACCATTTTTAATGTTCAGCTCTCACTACTTCAGAGAACAAGTGTAGCTGAATATAAAATAATGAGAAACAACTACCAGAAAAACATATCAACACTTGAAAAATCTACCATTATATTTATTCTCTTTCTCTCACTAGGGTTCATATTTTACCCTGTGAGTAGCTGAACGTATTGCAAATAAAAAAACCAAACCCACATAAATTCAAATCTATTTATTCCTTACCCTATAGTTATTTTGTTGGAAGGAAAAAAAAAAGACAGTACTGATTCCCCTCCCACCCCCCAAACTCTAAAGGCGTTATGCTATTTTTTTTTAAAGTATCTGGACAAACAGGATAATATTTTACTTTCTACTTCACATACATTTCTATAACATGTACCAGCATTATGTGGTAACGGGATATGCATCTGCAGTAGGTTTACATATGAAATTTAGTTAAGCTTAAGTATGTTCAGTATTAAACACAATTTATTAATTTCACTGTAACATTTTCATTCTTGGTGGTAAAATGTGTATTATTGGGGAAATACCTGTCAGGAATACCATGACATACCACGTTGTTTACAGAAGTACAAACAGATTTTGGAAAACCTCCATAGCCCAGAGGTGAAGGATAGGCATTCTGTCTGATTATTTCACGATGAACAATGGAATCTATTTCTTCAGTTGTCATGCCAACCTAAAATATCAAACATAACATCCTGTTAAAAAAGCAAAGATAGTTTCTCATATTTACTGAATGTGACTGCAGCCAAGCGTTTCAATGAAATCTTGGATGTTTCAAATACACTGCTTTGATACAAAACAGTAAACTGTCTGATATCCTTTATTGATATATTGGACCTTTTTTTAAAGAGAAATGGTTTAAATAAAGCATGCAGTAGAAACGAGCACTCAAGGGTTCCTAGAAAACCTAAAATACTGTCTACTTGCTTCCCGTTCTTTTTTCCACATTTGCTTTCTCAAAGACACCAATTTTCCATGGCATTTTGTTTCAGTAGCTGCTACAGAAATGTCTCGTTTCAATGCTTTCAGTCCTTTAAAACACAACATAACTTTCCGTTTTTATTTGTAAAAGAAAGGATCTTAATTCTTGTAACTGCCCAGAACATTTATCATAATGTACTTGTGCATTTTATGAAATTGTTTTCCAAGTGTTCTTTAAAGGTTTAAATATTTGGCTTAATATCTTGAGGATATTTTACTTAAAGTTGCCATAGCCTGGATGATCACAGTGAATCTACAAGCGCTTATCCATACTTTTTAGAAATCTTCATTTTTATGCTTCACGCTTCCTAGATTAATTTTTTCTCATGATTTTACATTAAAAAAAATTCTTATAAATCATTCAGCCATTTTTGAGTATCCATGGAGTGGAAAACGCACATGCTTAAAATAACATTCTTTTTGCTTTTCTTTTGGATTGACTGTGTCTGGAATGGTTAGAGCTGAAATTTGAAATTTGGTAGGGAAACCTCCCTCATTGAGAAGAAGTGCCTTTGAGGGTTCCTCTGCAAATTGATTTTGATTTGAATGAGTTTTGAGCCTTTGAAAATCATACTTCGTACACATACATTACAGGGGCTGTGATTTTGGAGGACTTTTTAGTAACACGTGGAATATAGGCAGGCTGTGGTGCAGGAGGCATACTTACCCATATATTAAAATATTCAGTGATCACACTCAGTGAATACAGTGGAGTGCACTTGCATACTGTGCTGAGGATAAAACCAGGTCTATTTGCTCAGCTTGCATCTAGTTCAGCATGAAAACGTGCTTGGGCAGATGAGGAGCGATGAACCCACTCAAGACCAGGATTTGGGGTTACTGTGCAGCCGTCCTGCTTTGCAGTAGCCATTGCAGCCTCTGCGTTGGGATGGCAGCCGCAGCCCCGATGTGCTATCTGCATTGGGCACACAGCCTTTGGTTCTGGATAAATAGAGGTTTGTTGCTCCTGCCTTCACTCACCCGTCTATCACCCTCAGCCCATGGACAAACTGAACTGGTACGTACCAGACTGGGGACTGTCTGCCGGTGTTCTGCTCAAGAAACTCGATGAGGCTTTGGCTGCTCAGCAGACAGATCTGTGCTCTCTGCATGGCAGGCTCACACGTTGAAAAGTTCTGCTTTTACAGAATCTGCTTTATTTTTATAAGAACTTTTGCTAGCTGGGCAATGCTGGGGAGGCACCTACTACACACCTCATCCCAGATTTGGGACCGGGCAATCTTACGGTATCTAACAAAATACTTCCAAGTCATAGAATTTTCTGCTTTATTACCAAATCTTTTAATTCAAACCCAGGAAATGCTATCTATATACTACCATACTGTATTTTTAAGTCCCACAGACAGTAAATAGTAATATCAAAACCATGCTCAGCCCAACCTTTGTCTCTCTGCATCCATGCATTATAATGTACCTTTGTTATACTGGGGGATGTTACTGCCATTAGCTAAAGCACAGACGAGGGCTGTTTTGGAGGGCTGTGTGCAAGGCGGGTTCAGCGAGACAACAGGAACAGGTGGAGGGATGGGGGTCTTCAGATAAAATAAGAATGCAGAGTTTACCTCATGAGAATAGCGAAAAGAGCTCAGTTTGTTTAGTCTGACGCACCGAAAGCTGTAATAGCTCTATTACTGTGTGAAGGGGACAGACTCAAGGAAAGGCAGGAAGCTGTTTAAATTACAGAGCAGTGCTGGCACAAGAACAAATGGGTATAAACTGTCCACGTGCAGAGTCAGGCTGGAAAGCAGAAGATGCTTCCTGTCGATGAGGGAAGGTTTTGGAGCATCCTCCTAGTCAGGGGTGTCTTGGCTGAACCCTTACTGGTGTAAAAGGGAGATCACCCTTGTCTGTGGTTGACCTGGGCAGCAGTCTCGGCACTGCAACTCCAAGTGCCAACTCCCTCCCAGTCCCATAGCTCCTGCTCACATAATCCTTGCCTTACACACTTTTCTCCAGAACGTTCATTACATATATGTAGCATTTTGCTATTATGTGTAACATGGCACATACTATGAACTGCATCATAGGCAACACCATGCTGTCTATATGTGTATTTTGCACATGATAACAACCAAAGACTTATCAGTGAAAAACTGCTCTCAATCATAATGCACATTGCACCCTGATCCTTCATAAACATGTATATGCCCTTAACTTTACACAAGTAAGTTTTACTGTTCTGGGAAATAACTGCATGTTAAAAAGTTGAACATGCATGAGCATAGGTAGGATTAAAACTTCAGGCAGTTTTGTTATTGGTCACTCCAGTTCCAGAATTAAACCTCTGGGAAGGTGCGATGATAGCTGAAAGAAAAATGCATGGTAAACTTGATTTTTTCCCCTTTTAAGTCAATGGCATTGACCTACAGGCCCCATCTATCTCTGCTTCTCATAGCTACTCAACCCATTTTACCCTCTCCAGTATGCTATTACATGAAATACCAAGGCAAGGCTAAAAAAGCACTCCTTCATCTGCAAAAACTGGTGGTAGGCTCCTCCCAGTACATTTTAACCTGGGAGGTATCCCAAAAAGCATACTGTAGAAACGTTACTGGAAACCATGAGGCTTTATTATTGATGCACTCTGGAAAATTGTGAGGAATTTGGCAGCTGTTTTTTCCAGCAGCAGCTCTACGATTTGTGTTGTGCTGGACCCCACGGGACAGCAAGGGGCTGAAGGATGGATGGGAATAGAGGAGGCAGCCCAGCCCTTTGGACTTGCACACATGCAGAGCTGGAAAGCAGGAAGTATGAGGAAGATGGGCCATGAAATGAAAGGAAAAAATGTAGCATGGGCCTTATGAGAAACTCATGTGATTTGGCACAATCCAAACAGAGGGAGATTACAGACAGAGAGATATTATGCCTGAGCCAGCAACTCACTCTAAAGTGCTACACAGGTCCAAAATACAGAAATAAATAAACAGGCACATCATGAACTGAATCAAAAGTTAATAAATCCTTTTCTCAGACTCTAACCTAAAGTTGGATGCACATTAAGGGATAGTAAAAAAAAAAGGTAGAGAAAATGCCAAATGAGTTAAAGCATGAAAGATATTCAAGCTGTTATGGGACTTCTGTAATTGTTACCTTTAAGCCCTTTCCAGCCAGAAGCAGGACATGACGGGCCAATTGACAAGCTTGACGAAGCCCTTGAATCTGATCTTCATTCTTAATTTCTATGTCGTCTCCCCAGTCTGGTACAATGCCTGTCGTCACATAGTCTGGCTTCTTTATGTGCTTGGAGAAAAAGGATTGAAAATGAAGATCAGAAAACTGAGCATGACAATGGGATCATTTTCTCAGATACTGCCTCCTGCTTCATGGCAGCTTGCCCTTTCTGTCGTAGTATCGACCTTCCTAAGCCATCAGGGCAAACCCTCAAGGCTGCCTCAGTATTTCTTCCACTGCCCTTTTGAACTTAACATTGCCTGTTACTACTGACTTATACAGTCTGTTAACCTTCCAATGCTGAAACCCCAGATATTGCAGCCCATTTCCAGCACACACAGTTGCAAGTTTTGAAACTGTGAGAGAAAGACTTAAAACCTCTTCATTTTCTTCTGCAAAGAGCGGTGTATTTTTCACCAAAGGCATCTAAACACTGGAACTGATGAGACAAACATACAGAATTAGGCTCACAAAAACCTGATATCAAATCCTTAGCTTCTTGCTCAGACAAAACTCCTGTTAACTTCCATGAGATTGTTTTTTTGGATTACTAAGAACCTAAGGATTTAACTTATTTTACTTTAAGGTTTTTACTTATTAATCTAGTTCACATGCTGCCCATCTGCAAAACTATGCAAGGCTATCCCAATTTGCTGTGTCAAGGAGAGTGTAACAAATGTTTAGTTTCTGCACAGAAGGTTCTCAGCTCTCATACAGAGGTGAAATTTCACTTCTGATTTTTCTAAATCCACAATAATTTGTTGACAAGTGTATGAACACAAGAAACAAATAATAACGGTAACATCTTGCACAGAGATGGAAATGCACTTCCTCTTGCAGGGTCTTGGGCTGTTTCACTGGCTGGGGAAGATTCCCGTTGCCCACCACAGCCAGGCTGATTCTTCGCTGTGACGGCCATGGGGCAAGTTTTGCACTGACTTCACAAAATACAGAATCAAGCTGGCAGACATGTAACAAAGCAGGCATTTGGGCTGTACACAAGAAGACCATACAGCATCAGGGTGTAGGAGTAAAGAATGGTGCAACCAATTAGCTCTAGGGGGACTTCAAATGGGAAGACTGTTGTTAACTCTGATGGGTATTTCATTTCTACTCTGATTAGAAGTGGAACTGTCTTTAGTGGATTCACGTCAACAGAAATTCAGATTTACATTTTGTTCAAATTAATGTAGTACCAACCCTAATAACATCCTACTGCAGTAGTTTGGGGCTTAATTGAGAAGAAAAAAAAAAACATTTGCTGTATTAGCAACTCCTTACACAGCAACACCCTTGCTTTCTCCTTGGAGGGCTCTCATCTAGTAACTGCTGAGACCTGACCCTGCTGACCTGTAAGATCTGTCAAGGGAGAAGCCCAAAGCAGTGTACATACAAGTCTATGGATACAATTTCACAACAGCATCTTGAAAAAAATATGTTATTTCAATGTGATTTCTGGCATACTCTGAATAAACTAATAACTTTGCTCTCAAGCTTTCAGAGTTGAAGAATTGGACTGATTTTTAGACAGTCTGAGTACTCTGATCTGTGAAGACAACTTTTAAGTACTTCTCTCTCTTTATCCTAAAAGGAGCATATAAATACAGGAAAAAAAAGTTTGTATTCTACAATTTCTAAACCTTTGAAAATACAAAAAGCATGTAACCCTATGTTCTTTCTGCACACTGAGCTTCAACAGCCTCTTAGGTGCAAGAGCCCTACATCCAGCATCCTTATCTGCTTTCCTATCTAATGATGTTTTATATAAGAAATCTATAATAAAATTAAAAGCAAAATTAAAAAAAGTACTAACACACATCCTGAAAAGCAGTGTTTAGGAAGGGTACTTTGGTTTTCTTTTGGCTAAATGAAAGATACTAAACAGTTAATCTGTATGCTGCAATTAAACAGGGAAAAGAAAGAAGAAGGGAAAAAAAAAAAGGAAACCCGAAGCGGAACACATGTTACAACTGCATGAAAAAGTTCCTTTTGGCTCTAAAGGAAATAAAAAATAAAAATACATGTTCAAGAAAAAAAGCCACTCAGGCACAGTAAAGAGGAGTTTGGAACATGCAATGGGGTGTGGGGCAGCTACCATCAAGTATTGTAGTTCTCTTCCTAAATCTGACATAACCAATTAACAAAACCTTCAGCAAAATCTAAACATTTTTACAATTAGCTTGCTAGAGATTTATACATAAAAGGACTCAGATGATCATGAATGATTCCTACTGACTTTTGGTAGGACTGTCTATAATTATCCAAAAGGAGAATCTGGACCCAGAAGTGTTAAGTGTTGACAGATGATTATAATGTTCCATGTTTATATTACCATAACTGAACAAGCCCCAGCTTTAAGCTCCCTAATAACTAGTTACGCCACTGTGTTCAACATGGTAGGCAGCTGAAAACTCCTCTCACCGGTGCTCCTCCAGACCAAGCAACAGGATGGTGATCCAAACCCTCAGCTCTTGGACAAGGAATACATCTGATCACGCCCGCAGCTGAACTCTATACTGACCGAAGAACAGATTAGATGATAGAAATTGCAGTACCTTAGGAACCGGGTGAGCTGGAGAAACTGTGGCTGGCCAAACTATACTATAAGCAGTATTTCTTTGTCCCTGAAAAAAGAAGCATCTTCGCTGTTGATTGCTTGACTGCCTGTGCAGGTAGATACGATTGCACGAAGAAAAGATTACGTGGCAGCCAGTAATAGAACCTGGTAAGAGATAAGTTAAAAATGGTTAACATTTTTTCTACCACATTACAAAATGGAAAGTATGCAAAAAGAAGGACATCACATAAAACAAGCCACAGAACTCGTGTAGTAGTCGAGGGTAGTTAAAATTGTTCAAATCTCGTACCGTTAAAGAGAGAGCACTGAGAAGCAATGAGAACAAAAAATCTCCCCAAACAATATTTTAAAGCTTTATAAAATATCAGATCTATTTTGATTTGATGCATTAAAAAGTAGCGTGAGCAAATTCCTTAAAGCTTACAGCCAGGAGTGATGTTCCAACTGGCCCTTGCTTGTAGCCATTTGCACAGCTAGTAGCTGCATCATTGTTCAAGGCTTGGGGAAACGGTGAATAAAGGACAACAGCAATAAAAAAGGAGAGTAAAATATGATTTAATGTTGATTTCAGACAATATGTTCACCTTCATTTTTGCAGAATTGGTCACAGATTTGAGTACAACCAAGTCAACGTTGCTCTCGTCATTTGCGCCAAGACACAAAGAAGGGGGGTTCAATTTGTCCTGCCTACCAGAGCAAAAGAACACATTTTAGCAGGTATTTTTAATTTTGGGCAAACGCAATTGAAGGGATTAAAATTTGTAATTGACTTGGAATATTCAAATCAGATTTTCATTTAATTCACATGAGGATTTGGGATGACAGTTCATCGGAGTATTCATTGCTCAAACTTAGTTATTGGGCGACGACGCATTTTGCTCCCCTTCAAAAAAGAAAGAAAAGAAAAAAAAAGAAAAAAGGGAAAAGGGAAAAAAGGGAAAAGGGAAAAAAAGGGCGTTGAGGCCCAAAGGTTGTCAGAGACATCAAAACCAAATTAATGCATCACAAAAGACAGTGCTAGCATCAACCTGGGAAATACACGAAATTCAAAAGGATTATTGACACTGCCCAATTAAACTACAATTACAGGTAGTGCATATTTCCATTACTCAAACATGCTACAATCTAAACAGAGGCTTTTTTGAACATAAGTTTCACATAATAGTTAATCTCTTTCTGAAAAATGTCATATGTATACAAACATAAGAGCAATCTTTTGTGGCAAGTAACCCATACAAATAATTACTCTTCAGTAAAAAGAATGTGTTTTCATTTAAACAGAACTAACTAAACATTTTCTGTATCACAGAAATTAAGAAATTAATCTACTACATATTTTGTAACTATGTAAAAATGAATTTTTTAATGTTTCTTCCATATCTCGTATGTTTTTGTTGCACCTTCCTTCCTTTCATTTGGATGCATTTATTATGTTCACATGCTGAAATTGTCCTTCCACATGCACATTTGGCTTCACAGACAGCCATTTTACAGCATGACATGATACACAGATTTGAGTTATGCACCTTTTTTTGAGCCTCAAAACCCAGATGAATGAAATAGTTGCATGGGGTTTGACTGTCTCTTTGCAAACTTTTCAGTGCTACATTTAGTTACTAATATCTGAATTTGTGCAATACTTGAAAGACTGTAGAGACTTCTACTCAATGCAAACAGATTTTTACCATTTTAAGAAATTGTTCATAAGTAATAATGCAGAGTTGGAGAGCGAGGCTCAGATTAAGCTCTCAGTACAAACAAGGTACCCCAATGGAAGTTGCCTGCTTCAAGTGTCTCCACAGAAGTGGGGCTTCCCAGTTAACAAAGGGTGGATTGGTTTGGTGGTGTTTTAATTATCATTTAATCAACAACCTCACCATCTACTGCTTTCCTAGGCTCTCCTTTGCAAGCAAAAAATCCTTGTCCTTTTATAAAATAAAAGGGCCATTGATGTGTAAGTGCATTAAAAGAACCCAAAGCATCCTACGAACTCCCTGGCCATTTTGCACCCGTTTCTGGTAGCACAGAATCCGCTAAGGCAGCTCCTTTTGGGGCATCAGAAGTAGCAATCAGTCTGCCAGGGTAAGCTAAGGTAGCTCTTCTACAGAGTGCAGTGGAAGTACCTCGCTTTTACAGCAGCTGAAGGTATAAATATATTGAAAACTCACACTCACTGATGTGGTCAAAGTCCACGTGGACATCAGTATGTGAACAGGTACTTCAAATGCTCGCCTTGACGCATGGCATGCTGCCTAGGCACCTAGTCTACTGTCTAAAAGTTTAGTTGGGGAAGAAAAGGTACAAGTGTGCTTGTCAATTATTCAACAGTAAAACTCCAGATGTCCCAAATACACATTCTTAAATAGATCAAACCATTTTCTATTCATGGGTACATGCCTATCAACTATCCCATGTTCAGAAGGGATACCTTTTTATTTGGAATAAAACTTTTACCTCTATTGTCCCAAAGACACACTGTAAGTGTTGTCACGAGCTAACAGGATAATAAGGTACTGTAGTCTGTTGTTATTCTACTACCTACTCATTATAAACCAGACGCATACAAAAATATCTACTACTTGAACAGGTGAAATACGACAACCAAATAAATATCACCATAGTATAATATGACTCCTAAAATACACTGCAAGAATTATAAACACAGGACAACTAAACCTTTATTTGAAATATAAAAAAATATAACAAAACATTCTCCTACAAAGTAAAAATAAAATGAAATAAAATGGCATTAAAATATAATGAAGTTACTGGTTTATAATGAAAATCTGGACTCCATCCACACACTTCCTTCCTTAAGAAAGCCTTCCTAATGTCTACACAGCTCCTTTTATTTTTTACGCTCCCATATTCACAGCTAATTCGATACAGCAACATCATCAATCACTGGAGACAGGAACAACTGACTGTATTCTCCAAGTCTGGCTCATATATTCCCTCCTCCCCATTCTTTACACCTATCAAAGCTTTTCTCAGTGCCTTATTTACTTCTGCAACACTGGCGCTCAAGCACATCTTTTTTGTTAAGCTTTCTGTGTATATTAATTACAGTAAGATAGTTCATAAACGAGGGATTTGTGCAGCTGCCCGTTGAAACCACAGCCACTGGAGCAAGCCCAGTGTTTGAAGCCGGGTGGCCTGGTAACACACCAGCACAGCCAGAATGCAAAGCTGACCCTTCACGCGTGTCTTCTCTCTCCCAGCAGCAAGGCTACATCACTTGCCACGAGTAACAGAATATTTACTATCAGCTGCAATAAGGAGAATTGTTACTGGCATTACCGAATCACATCAGCAGATACGACGTACCTAGCACAGAAAATTACAGACAACTGCTCCTCTGACTCAACAGTGAATCACACTGTGCACTCTGTAAGCACACATGTCCCGCCCCAGCCGCTGGATTCCTCAGCATACCTTCCAGACCTTAATTTGTATTAATAATATAAATATGCACTGCAAGCTTTGGTGAATTACCAGATGAATTTATCTTGTGTGGAAATTGCATTTTCTCTTTCTTTTAAACGAGTCAGCCAAAGGGGCTGAACACAGAATTCAAGTATGATGATGGGTGGGAGCATTTTAAGTGACTGATTTTGCAGCACAATGTGCCCTATATTTATTAGCCTTTTACTCTAGGTCTATTTTAATTGTTATCTGTTCATGCATGCTACACTATATAATGAAATGCTCCCATTTCACTCCCAGAGCAGAGAGTTTTTTATGTGTATCTCTATTAATGACCCTTAATTAAGTTGATTTTAGTCATTTAAATGTGATTTTCCTCTGGTCAAGAAGTATTTTTAAAGGGAGACATTGGAAATGAACTCTCACATAAGCCCTTTTCTAATGCTTCAGTTTAACAGTTACAGCAATTTATCATCTATGTTTTCAATGGATGAGGTGTGGGGTAGCCATGCAAAACGCTGCTCATCTACATGATTCATCAAATGTGACGGTTAGAAACCATTTCTTTTTTAGTATTTATTTATGAAAGACTTCGAATTTCCCAGCAATTAGCAAAAATGTTACCAAAGGATAAACACGACAGTTCCAAGCTACAATACAAGGGTACATCTTAAAAGAGCCAAGAAAAAACCCCAAAACCAACATATTTTCGAATAATTTAGTCACAGTACCAACAGAAGCACAGTCTCAAAATTATTTAGGATTACAAGAATTAACATCCAACTGATTTAGGAAATAAAATCAACTCGTTCTTGATAAAGTAAATCTTACTTAATATATGAACAATTAGCAACATCAACAGCATCATTCAGAGAACTCCTTTTTAAATATGTGAGTTAATATATACATATTTTAAACTTAAAAAAGAATGACCATGGAGATTTTCTTAGTATATATTCATTTGAGGGCAAAACATTAGAAATCTTTAATTTGGTTTGTCAGGTCATTTTAATGTTATATCATAATATTGTTCCTTGTGCAAATACTCATTTTGCTAAAACTTCAGAGGAATAAAGTTTAAAGTGAGATATTAAAAATCACTGTGGGCAATAATATGTGGAATCCAACCAATGCAACTAGGTAAGAATATATAACTTTTTACTGTTAATTACCAAATGTTCCCACTTTTCAATCCAAAATAATGGCGTGGTTTGATAGATCTTTACTTGTAACTGTAATTCTGTCTTAATGGAACACTGACTTTGTAATCCCCATGTTGCAAAGGTACGTGCAAGCTTCAAAAATAGGATGGGAAAGATTAAAGGTTCTCTCCAACTCTGTGTAACCTGTGTAGCAGAAGAGCAGCTCACATTTCACAGGCAATAACCTGTGCATTTGCTAGGGGAAAAAAAAAAAGGGGGGGGGGGTGTGTGTGCAGAAAAAGAACAACATAGGGAAATGCCTCAGGCATAAGTTGAAACTGATTGGGCAAAGTAGAAGGACAAGAGCCCTTGAAATTAAACAAAAGCAAATTCATTCTGTTGACAGATGTTGATTACATCAAAGCCACTTAAGAACTTTTCTTCTGTCTCTTTTTTTTTCCTTTTTTGCAAATAATACCTGTCTTTTCTGTACATTAAGGATATAACATATCTTAATCAACATAACCCAACACGTAATAATTTTTAAATTTGGTAAAAGTATATTGTAATGAGGTCTTAACGACAGGCTTCTCCAAACAAGAGTGTATTCACATGGCCCTGTCTGCACACCCGTGCTGGTCACGCCATCATCAGCCCCTTACTTCCAGGGGTTAACTGCTCTGGCAGCCAAATAAAATACAGAGAGCACTGTGTAATTATGGAGACAGTCAAAGGGCAGACTCTATTTTGAAATCTATTTGCACAGACAAGGTCTTCCAATTTCGCTTACAGGAAACAAGCTGGTAAAGGGGGTCTCCTCCTCTCCAGATGCTTTCCACACTTTTTTCCCACATCAGGAAATTATGGACATGGACACCATGCAGCACTGTTTCCTGGATTGCAGGGCTATGTCATTACAAGGAGAAGAGCAAGTCCATGCTTGTGAGAAGTATTTCCTCCTAATTGCCCATATTAGGGGAAAGCAAAACCCACAAGGACTACTGAAAACGTGACTAGCAGCAATTTGTAAACAGGACGCAGCCACAGCTGTCATGATGGTACTGGAAAAGAGAAAACAGGAATGAAAGGGTAAAAACACTCTGGTTTTAATAGCATGATTGGGGAAATGAAATATTCATCAGGATAGATGTGACTTCACTTACAACAGCAACACATTGGTGGAAACCTCAAGAACAGCATGCTTATGACTGTACCCTGGTAAACTGAAATACAGACCAGTATCTTGCAAACATTACATTCTAATTGGCATTGTTTTATTTAATTATTGAAATTAAATGGAAATTAACAACCGAAGGTGTTTAGTTAATGAAGGCATTAACAGAACTGCTTTTCTCGTTACTCCCGTAAGAGCCAATAAAGCAAGTCAATGGCCAAACACCGATCAACTCCAAGTGAGCTGAGCCAGCCTCTTTGCTGAAACCACTGAGATTCCTCAATGACATGGAAAAAAATCAAGTTTGGCCCTCAGGACCAGTTTTGGTCCCCGCTAACTGCAATTCTGCCCTTAATTCACGGAGACAAGAACCCTGCAATTTGTTTACCGCATGCTAATACAAATGAGTTTTTTTATTGGGTGCGTATTTATAAACGATATGGAAATTCTTGTTTGGCTTTCCTTATTGTGACTTAGTCTAGAGCTGCACACTAAAATGATGAATCAGTGCCTTCTGGAATAACACCGTTCTTCTAATTCATTATTCAGTCAAACTTACGGCCAACAAAATAGCTGTTCTACAAGTTGGTAAACTGGGAAACCACAGAGAATCAGAACTTCTTCTATTTACAGGAAGGATGACAGCCTAAGGGTACTTCATCCCAATAATAACAACATTCAAGTAATGGTGCCCAGGTCATGACAAGCCATGACCCTCCCCATAGCTCCTTCAGGAAGCTGGCTGTGTGCCACCTTTTATCAGCAGCAACCGACAGTGCAACTTTAACAAACAAGAAGAAAAGAAAAAAATAATTTTATATTCTTAAAAATTCTGTTGACCAATTGAGCAGTTGCATATATATATATATATATATATACACACACACACACACACACAGAGTCACACCAAACCAGTATATCTATATCTGGATGATATTCATTCATATACCACAGTAAATTAATTGTCTATTACAGAAAGTGGACCGCGCTGTACAGGCTTAACTTCAGGAACAGGGCATTGTAATTCTCCAGTAGAGCCTTCTATCCTAGTGTTATTTCTACTACGTTTTCTCTGATAGTAAAACACAAGTAGAAAATAAAAAGGAATTGTTGCCTAAAGCAGTATCACAGCAAAATGAAACAAATCAGGTACAAAAGCTGGACAAAGCAATATGAAGAGTTTCACACACAGTTAATACCAGGGGAATTTGGGCTCCAGATCACGGCATCTGGCAAATTTCAACTTCTGTGACTAGATGGAGAAACATTCCTCTTATGTGACTGCATTCCTGTATTGAGTAAATTAATTTATCAAAAAGTGAATAAATTAGAACAAGAAATGTATCTGCTCAGGCTTGCATCTCTAAATACACCTTTCAATCACTTTCTATCTATCTTTAGTTTTTTAAAAGATCAGAGAAATTACTTTCGCTTGAAAGATTGGTTATTGTATTCGTTGAAATAACAACTGTTGGAACAAGTTACTTAGTTTAAAAAATAGCAGTTGTTTCAGATTAAAATAACAAGCTATTCAAATACTCCTTACACACACGCACAATACCAAATCTTGTTGTTAATATGCACCCACCCACAGTTTTAATGTTCATTGAATCTTACTGGGATAAAATCTTTTCAGGCGCTCTGTGAAACAACTGGTTTTCAACTGGCATGGTGATGTCCTATATACATGCCTGATACGGTATTAAATGTTAAAAATAAATCCAACTTTAACCTCTTAAATTTCCACGTGAAATGGCAAAACATTTGTCTGAATCACCACAAAAAATGTTTCCCACTGAAACTCTTCCAGTGGGTCAGCAAGGCGGCTGAAATACCAGCAATCTTCGCGAAGAAAATTTAGAAGTGCTCCTGAACATCATACCAAGATCGTCTGTGTAGCTTGAGACACAGGAAGAGAACGGGCAGTCAGGAGTCTTTTTCCCGCACAGAATGTACAACCCATTGCAGTAATTATTTTCAATACACCTGCAGCCAAATCTCTAAGGATACAAGATTATTCCTGAATTGTAAGCCAGTCTTATCTCAAATTAAAAAAAAAAAAGTGTAAACTGCTAGCAATTTTAGGATGAATACTTCTGTAAAATAAGATTACATTGCTACTCCATAAAAATGACAGCTAGCAGTGTTTCTTACCTGTATTAAATGTTGTTAATTACTTGCATTGTCCTGTCTTCACATTAAAAGACAAGTTACATTAGGACCATGAGTCTTTACTGAGAAAACATGTACATGTCTTTCGCTAGAGTGAAGAGTGTAAGGTTGGGGAATTACATCCTGTAAGCTGGACTTCAAAATACATGAGCAGAGAGGTGTAAGTTTACAGCTGTTTTTGCTAAACTACTGTGGTGGTGGCAGAAACAAGCTTTTTTTTTTTTTCCTTTTTTTTCCCCCCAGGAAGATATTCTGCAGAAGGAAGATGTTCCAATTGAGGGTATGCGACAGACGACTTGTAGCATCCTTATTAAAACATGGATTTTTAAACCTGTCAGTCATAAGTATATGCTATTAATGCATAACTGGTTTGCTTATTCATAAATATGTGACATTTGGGTCACTGGATGAATTATAATGATAGGATTATGGATCGAATTCGGAAGAGTACAGTATACTGTTTAATTTATTTTTTTTTAAAATATCTTTCACTTATCTCCTTGCTTAACATTTACAAAGACCTCTTTCTTATCATAAAAGTCCCTGTTTATCAAACAGTGATACAGGAAGAAGTTGTTTACATTTTCAGAAGTACCAACATACATCACTTACAACAAAAAAAACCCAAGCACTCCATAAGAAATGCTCAATCACTGTCAATCATATGCACTAGAATATACATAAACCAAAGCATGTGGTGTGAACTATATTAGATTCAAACTGAACACAGAATTACAACTATAACAAACAAAACCCAAATAATTACAAGTGACTCATAGGCCTATTTACACATCTCACCAAACTGCTGGAAAGGTAGGTAACCATAGAAACGTGACAGCCTAAATTCAGTACTTTAAGATTTGTATTTAGTTTAAAATGCTGAAAATGTTGTTTCTGTTTGACAAAATCCATAATTTTAAAGACTTCAGGTTTTGCTCTGGTACTTAAATAAATGCTTAAAGTTATTTCATCTCTTGGTTACTAATAATTTGCCTTTTATCCAAGTACAGATTACAGTTTGCTCTTTGCAATATAAAATGTTAATACTTTTTAATAATGCAAATCAATATTTCTAATATTTCTTTAATGATTGAAATTAAATAACGATATAAACCAAACACTCCTGCACTTACTATTAAATGTTTTGCATATAGACTTTTCTAAGCTACACACTAGCAAAAAAAAAAATTACTCAAATTAACTGTTAAAGCTGAAATGCTAATAGCCTTTTCAACTTATAGTTCTTTTTCACTGACAATTACAATTTGCATGGCTTAAAATGTAATACTATGATTAGTACTAATGTCCTGTATTTTACTTCATAATCTAAATGAGTAAAATATTATTTTTGTAGTTCACTGGCTCTTATACTTAGGCTGTAATGTTCAGTGTGTATTTCATTATGCAGATGAGCAATGGATGTCGTCTAACATGATTTAAATGGGTCAACAGTATTTTCCTATTCACATTAATCATCCAGACAGCCACACACACACACAAAAAAGCGCGCCTTGAAAACTAACCTAGGAAATCTCTTTTTATCACCGACTCTTCCCACTAGTCAAACAACAGCAAGGACATGCAACGGCAGCCTCGCAAACCAGGGAGCCAAGGCTGAGCGCTGCTCCGTTCGCTGGTGCACAGCTCCTGCCGCAGCCGGGGCCGGCAGCGGGCAGCGCTCCCTGGGCTGCCCGCGGCCCCGTGCCAAGAATGATTCTCATCCCGCCAAGTTCAATGGGAGCTTGTGTGTTGACAAACTGAGCAAATTGGAATCAGCAAAATTCGTTCTTGGCACAGGGACATGGAACTGTGCTGAATGCAAAGGCGTGCTGCCCGCTGACGCTGCGCTGGCAGCTGAGCTGTTCTTGCGTAAATACACTTGTCGCAAAACTCCCACTAAAGTCAGAGGACACAGGACTAGGCCATTTATTTCCAATTGTTTATAAAACACATCAAAATTAAGGGCTCTATTCTCAAGCCATGTAACCATCACCTACGGCCCATTTCATACATGGCACATTGCAAATAAAATGGCAATTTACAAATAACACGGCGCTTCTGTGAAAAGGGAAGCTGTTGCAATAAATACCAAAGGGAAAGACTGTAAGTGCAAAACAGGCAGAAAGTAACAGAATGATCAGGTACCAAACATTCTGACTCATTTATTCAATAAATGTATTAGTAGGATTGAAAAAAAAAAAAAAAAAAGAAGAGCTCAAGATTGCCTCAAACACAAAGCACTGCTGTGGCACAAAATCTCTATAAAGGCAGAGATGACACATTTGATCATATTCTAGTGTAACAGAGCTTGCCTGGGAAACTCCACGCTCTTCACACCATAGGGCAGATACGGCTGGACAACACAGGGGTGGTCGGAGCTTCTCAGTGGTGGGACGTGCAGACTGCGAGGACACGGGCAGGGAGGTGGTGGCACTCCTTACCTCCTCCCTTAAAGCTTTACCAGGGACCTCTCCCCGCATCCATCCTTACTTAGGTACACTGACATCA